CCGGGCCGCGGCGGGCAGGGCCCGGGGAGGGCAGCCCCGGCCCAGCTCCGGAAACAAAAGCCTCAAGCCCGCAAGGAGAAGTTTTGCCCCACTTTTGAGGCCCCGCAGATGTTAGTTCAGGGTCCTATGAGCGGTGGTTTGTGTGAGAGGAGCTGCGCGGCGTAAAGCGGTTTGTAATCTGTGGTTAAAACGGCAAGGCCGGCAGTGACGGGCACAAATTGTCCATCCTGCAGGACAAGCAGTTGCCGAGCTTCTAGGAGAGGAATGAAGCTAGGGCAAAACTGCTGTCAAACAAAGTCTCCACCGAATGCAGAATCTGCCAAGTTTTGACTCCAGAAATCAGCAACAGCTCAGAGCTGGGACTGGAGGCGAGGGCGGGGTGGGGTGTGGGGAGTGGCCTGGGGTGCGCGTTTTTTGCGCAGTTTTTCCCTTGTTAGGAAAATGACCAACGTTCACTTTTATCACTAAATTCTGGAGAACTAGATCGTATTTTAACTTCTGTTTCTTTGGCGTGGTCACATACTGGGCATGCATTTCGTCACATCTGGAGCACAAGTAACTGGAAATTAACAGATCGAATGGGGTGGACGCTTTCCCTCACTCCCTTCATGCGTATTTCTGTGTCGTTAAAATACTATTTCCAACAGAAAAAGAGTTGTGTACAAGGGCAAGGGAAGCCTGCAGAGTCCCCCTTTTTAGACTACGTGATAAAAGCTCGTCCGCACTCTCACAAAGGAGCACAGAGAGACAATGGCAGGAGGAGGAGGACCTCAAATAACACCCTGGCCCATCACAGCAGCCATCAGCACATCAAAGGCTCCTTTTTCACACGCCCAGAGGAGCAGAGGGGCACAATGCCAGGTGGCAACCCAAATTAAGGACTCAGAGGAAGGGACCCCCTGCCTGGGCCCGCCCCCCCCAGGGCTGGCCCAGAAGAGCCATCAGCCCCATTGTCCAAGTGTGAAAGCCCATCACGAAGAGCCAAGGGTGGGGGCACCTTTCAGAGCGGGGGAGAAGGGGGGTGCTGCCCCACAGGGGCACCGGACACCTCACAGGATGCCGGGGAAAAGCCTTTTGGGATTGCACAGGACTTACTATGGGATGTTTAGGGGAGGAATCAAAGCGGGGAAAGGGAAGGATGAGGGGAAAAACAGTTGCACGTAAACTGTTGGCTGGCTAGCGCACGTGTTCAGCCTTGTCTTGATTAGCACAGTTTGCCCTATCTCATTATTAAATTCTAACTCTTCCTGGGTGAGGTACTCTCTATTGGGGTGGAGTGATGTGTGTATGGGAGTCTGAGTGCCAGGTCACAGGGACCCATGTGCCGGTGGTGCAGGCAGTGCGGGCATGCAGGTGAGGGTGGGAGTGCTAGTAAAGATCCAGCTGGCAAGCAGGTGAAGTGGTCTCAGAGCTGGGGGGTGCCTGTAAGGAAACAGCTGCCCATCCCAGCAACAGGGACAGTCCCAGCCAGCAGCCAGAGAGACCGTGGGGTCTAGGGGTCTCTCACCAGGGGTGAGACCCACTGGTGTCTAAGGGTGAGGCCATGGCGGTTGGCTACTGGAGGGACCAGGGGAGTCCTGGCCAGCTGTGCACATGCACGCACTTGTGTCTGTCTGTGAGTGATGGGGTCTGCACCAGCAACAGGAGTCGGGCTGCAGCCTTGGGGTCTCATGTGCCCAGGTGCCAGCAACTGGGGAGACTGGGATCTGGGAGCAGGCTGTGTGTCTAAGCCCAGCTCCTGGAAGGATCCACACATGTATATATGTGTATATAGAGAGATATATTTCCTGCTATTGGACCTCCATCCTGCTCAGTCTGGGAGGGCAACAGGATGAAGCCATTGGTGCTGTTTGTGTACATGCTCTGTGTAGATCCATGTGGCAGCCATGTGTACATATGTGTACATACGTGGTGTGTGTGTGTTTTTATGCATATGCCTACAGGAAATACATTCTCAGCCTTGCTACTGGAGCTGTGGCAGCCTTGCTCCTTCTATCAGGCTGCCAGATCCTGCCCTAATTCCCTAACACTTTGTGTTTGACTTATCTTGGCTCACATTTTTCTTTTTCCTAGCTTACTTTCCATTTGTTTGCAAGCATAGCAAACTCCACCTTGAATCTGATCACCCAACTGTCTCTGGCATTAGCTCTGGAAATACTCATTTACTGGTTAGTGTGGGAACTTGCCATATTTGGGGAGGCTCTTAAGCATATCCAGATTTCAGAGGCAATCTTCAGACCGCACAAAGCAT